ATAGCGATGTCTGGAGCATCTACTGGAAGTGAGCTTTCCGGGCTTCCAAAGGGAGCCGGAAGAGCTATTTGCATATGAGGAGCCGGGCTCACTCAGAAGAGCCCGACAAGCGGACTGTCGAATGGCGGCCAAGATTGTCATGCCCGAGAAGGTCAAATGGGCAATTAACACCTTCATGTCCTATAAGTCAACGGGACCGGATGGCGTCTTTCCGGCTCTTCTACAAAAGGGACTGGAACAGATCGTGGGCCCACTGACTCGAACCTTAAGGGCTTGTATCGCGATGGGCTACACACCCAGAGCATGGAAACTGGCCAGGGTAGTTTTCATCCCAAAGGCGGGAAGAACGAGCTACACCAAGGCAAAGGATCTCAGGCCAATTAGCCTAACATCGTTTCTCCTTAAGACACTGGAGAAGCTGGTGGACGCGTATCTGAGGGAGACAACCCTGTGGAGGCATCCTCTCCACAAAAATCAGCACGCATATCGTTCGGGCTATTCCACCGAGACTGCTCTACATCAGACGGTAGCGTTTATTAAGGAGCAGCTGGAAAGGAAGGGCTACGCAGTGGGTGCTTTCTTGGACATAGAGGGCGCCTTTAACAACACACCGCACGAGGTAGTGTGTGAGAAAGCCAGAAGAGGTGTCTCGATGAAGCTCGTCGAGTGGATCCGGGGCATGCTAGAAAGGCGTGTGATAACTTCGCTGGGAACTGCGAAAGTCTGTGGGTGGGTGGGAAGAGGCTGCTCGCAGGGCGGAGTACTTTCCCCACTTTTATGGTGCCTGGTAGCAGACGGATTATTAAAGGCACTGGACGATAGAGGCTTCACTGCACAAGGCTACGCGGACGACGTGGCAATACTTGTGCGAGGCCCTTTTCTAGAGACGCTTCTAGAGCTCATGCAGGGAGCACTAGAAGTTGTAGAGGAGTTGTGTCAGAGAACGGGTTTAGCGGTGAATCCACTGAAAACCGGTCTCACTGTCTTCACTCCCAAATACAAGGTGGGCATCATTGTGGGATCCACTCTTGGAGGAGTAAGGTTAGTTCCGACCAAATCAGTGAAATATTTGGGAGTTATCCTGGATAGGAAGCTGCTTTGGGAAGAGCACCTTCGTAACCGGTGCAAATAATAATAATAATAATAATAATATAACATAACGGGGGGGGGCGTTCCTTTTCGAAGCACCGCCCACGGCACCCAGACATTGTCCATTGTGCCTCCCCTCATAAACTTACTCATGAGAGACCCGCTTTTCTCCAAAAAAGAATCAGATCCCTCACCGGCAGCTCGCTGATCTGTTCAGGCCCAAGTAGTGCTGAGCCCAGCATCCTGTGTCTCAACCCTGCATGTGCAGGACAGTTGCTGAGTACATGAAGGCTTGTTTCCTCGTCGTCTCCACATGCCCTGCACCTGGATGTATCGCTACGCCCAAGCTTGTACATGTGGTAGTTTAAGGTGCCATGACCCGTCAGTACGTGTACCGCTGTCCTGGCATCTTTCCTACTCAGAGCCCTTATGCTCCAAGCCAGTTCCCTATTAAGAGTATCTCCCATCAGAGCTCTAGCCTGTCTGCATTTGGACTCAGATTCCACTCTCCAGTGTCTTAGATGTTCTCTGCGGAGCCATTCTTTGATCCTCCCCCTTCCTAGACAAAAGGGGATTCCCAGAGCCGGCCCCGGTCCTACCATCGTTATCTCTGAACCCGCTTTTGCCAGCTGGTCCGCGCATTCATTACCCTGGATGCCCGAGTGACCCGGCACCCAGGTAACGGTGACTTCTCTCTTTCTCGCCAGTTCGTTCAGAACGCCTCTGCACTCCCGAACCAACCGCGACGTTGTTGTTGGAGCCCCCAGCGCCTTGATGGCTACCTGGCTGTCCGTACAAATTCTGATGTGCTCTCCCGCTTCTACCATACTCCGCATGGTCTGAGCACAGCTTCGGATAGCCACAATCTCTGCTTGGAATCCCGTGGCATAACTTTCGAGAGAAATGCTCTCCTTCCCTCTGGAGTGTCAAAGAAGCCGGCCCCGGAGCCCGTGTCCGTCTTGGAGCCGTCCGTATACCAGACATCTCCTCCACGCACTCGAGCCCCTAAGTTTCCACCTTCCTTTTCCCACTCCTCCGGCCTCGGTATATGCACTTTAAAGCGCCTATCAGAGGCCCGAATAATAGGTATTCTGTCCTGTCGCATCTCGAATATCGGATCCAACAGAACGTCTTCCGGCAGCCTCATATGCCGGACTCCCTTCTTCCATTTTAGTTCGCATCTTAGACGGTATGTCGCCACTGCTGCCGCAGCCACCACCACCTGATGAAATGGTTTGATGCCGAACATTACGCCCATCGCCGCCACTGGTGTCGTAACCATAGCACCCAGGACCCCTCTCAAAATCAGAGCCCTGACATGCTCCAGCGCAAATTTGGCTGTTTTTTTTTTGCACCCTAGTCCACCATACTACGGCTGCGTATGTGAGTCTGGGGCGAAGTATGGCTGTGTAGATCCAATGTATCATACTCGGTTTCAAACCCCAAGTCTGTCCAAAGGTCCTTCTGCACATCCAAAAATACTGGCACAAGCTTTTGCACCGGTTACGAAGGTGCTCCTTCCAAAGCAGCTTCTTATCCAGGATAACTCCCAAATATTTCACTGATTTGGTCGGAACTAACCTTACTCCTCCAAGAGTGGATCCCACAATGATGCCCACCTTGTATTTGGGAGTGAAGACAGTGAGACCGGTTTTCAGTGGATTCACCGCTAAACCCGTTCTCTGACACAACTCCTCTACAACTTCCAGTGCTCCCTGCATGAGCTCTAGAAGCGTCTCTAGAAAAGGGCCTCGCACAAGTATTGCCACGTCGTCCGCGTAGCCTTGTACAGTGAAGCCTCTATCGTCCAGTGCCTTTAATAATCCGTCTGCTACCAGGCACCATAAGAGTGGGGAAAGTACTCCGCCCTGCGGGCAGCCTCTTTCCACCCACCCACAGACTTTCGCAGTTCCCAGCAAAGTCATCACACGCCTTCCTAGCATGCCCCGGATCCACTCGACGAGCTTCATCGGGACACCTCTTCTGGCGGCTTCCTCACACACTACCTCCTGCGGTGTGTTGTTAAAGGCACCCTCTATGTCCAAGAAAGCACCCACTGCGTAGCCCTTCCTTTCCAGCTGCTCCTTAATAAACGCTACCGTCTGATGTAGAGCAGTCTCGGTGGAATAGCCCGAACGATATGCGTGCTGATTTTTGTGGAGAGGGTGCCTCCACAGGGTTGTCTCCCTCAGATACGCGTCCACCAGCTTCTCCAATGTCTTAAGGAGAAACGATGTTAGGCTAATTGGCCTGAAATCCTTTGCCTTGGTGTAGCTCGTTCTTCCCGCCTTTGGGATGAAAACTACCCTGGCCAGTTTCCATGCGCTGGGTGTGTAGCCCATCGCGATACAAGCCCTTAAGGTTCGAGTCAGTGGGCCCACGATCTGTTCCAGTCCCTCTTGTAGAAGAGCCGGAAAGATGCCATCCGGTCCTGCTGACTTGTAGGGCTTAAATGTGTTAATTGCCCACTTAACCTTCTCGGGCATGACAATCTTGGCCGCCAGTCCGCTTGTCGGGCTCTTCTGAGTGAGCCCGGCTCCTTATATGCAAATAGCTCTCCCGGCTCCCTATGGAAGCCCGGAAAGCTCACTTCCAGTAGATGCTCCAGACATTGCTCTCCAGTCACCACCGTCCCATCAGGAAGTGCGATGGCTTCCAGAGTCGCTTCCGGGTTCCTAGCGAGAATCCTGCAGATTCTTGCCGTTTCGAGCATTCCCTCTACTTCCTCGCAAAACTTCCTCAAGCTTTCCAGTTTCGCCCTAACCACAGAGTCTTTATATTCCTTCTGTGCTCTCCTAGAGAGCTCCCAGTCGAATTGGTGGCCCGTGTCCTTAGCTCTGTTCCAGGCCCTGTGAGCCGCCACTCTGAGACCCTGCAGCCAGGTGTCCACCAGGAAGTTCCTCTACTATTTATAACCGCCCGTTCGGGGCAATTATTTTTGTAGCAGTTTACCAAAGACCTCTGCAAAAAGTCCACACAGGTCTCCAGTTCGTCCTTTGTCCCGTGCCTCTTAGGAAAGCCTTTAAGACTGCTGGCCAGGTTTTCCTTATAGGAGTCCCACTTGGTTCTCCTCGGGTTCCTGAATTTGACCTCCTTCCCCCAAGCCTTAGCTATCCTGAAGGTGATCTGCCTATGGTCTGAGAGCGAGGGCTCCGTCGAGACCCTCCACTCTACTACCTCCTGTATCAACTGCCTGGAACAGACAGTGATGTCGAGCACTTCTCTTCTCGCTATAGTGCAGAAGGTGGGCTCGTCTCCTGTGTTGAGAATCTCCAGATCCGTAGATGCTAGGAACTCCAACACTTTCCTTCTTCTTTTGTTGGTGTCATAGCTTCCCCACACAGTGTGATGCGCGTTAGCGTCACATCCCATGATCAGGGGGAAGCCGTTTCTCCTGGCAGTATTCTGCTAGTTTA